CCAACCCTTTGTAAACTTATCTGAACAGCTTTTGTTAATTTGTTTACGTACTGTAAATCAACCGGACGTGTGCGGCGTTGTGTGTACCCAGGGTCCCTCTAAACCACGGCCCTGATGTCGACAATCCTAGCTTAAGTGGTCATTTGTTCTTTTCTCATCTATTTTCTACTCTACAAATACTTCCTCCAAGCACGAAATGTAATGCAAAAAGCAGATAAAAAGTTGAAGTCCCAAGGCTAAAAATGAATGAGAACCGTTGTAGGCAAGTACTCAACATTCTAGCAGTGACCTCTGCCCATAATTCATAGACCCGAGCTTCAGGAAAATATGGCAGTGACGACCTTGTGTAACACATACTTGTAACACATACTTGTATACACATACTTGTATACACCTGATATATTTGTATAGACGAGCAATGGGATTGTGTTCTTTTTGTTTCAAGTGTGTGTGTGTCAGTGGGGAATTAACACGAGTGGTGTGTTGGTTTAACGAGTCTCAGAGACTTACTCTGTAGATTGTGGAGTGTTGGATTAAGAGGTCTCAGAGACTTACTCCGTGGTTGTGGTGTGGGTTACTGCAGTCCTTAGTGACATTCACATGAAGACAAGACACAGATAAGTGTGGCGGCTTACTCAATTGACGTGGAACCGCGTGCTTATCATTTTCATTTTCATCAAGTTACGATAGATATAATCAAGCCTATGGGTAACTACTCTACATCTAATATTCAGTTCCTGAGAGGCTTTGGGCTGAGTCACTAGTCTGGCCATTTAATTCTGGCCATCAAACGGGACCCCGTTGACTTTGGCCTGTGTCATCAGACTCAGTAGTCACCATAGATTTCTAGCCTGACCATCAAACAAGACCCCGTTGCATTAGACGTGTGTTACAGCTAAGATTGAGGTAAAGACAAAAACTACAACCTGATACACCAATACTACACAACTCAGATTCAAGTAAATACTAAAGCCTAATGATGCGTGCAGGGTTTTCAAATGACAAAAGATATAGCGTTGGCTATAACAAAACTTGAATAATATTTTTTTTTAAATCGCTTCAATAAGTAAAACAACTTGGAATTAGCATCGATCTGAATTAACGATAAAAGTCCTCTATTTAAAGGATTTGTTGATTTATTGTGTGAAGGTGGAGGAGGGGAAACTACTTAATATAATTTTCAAATATAAATAGCGCAAAAAATAATCTAAACTCGCCACAGGAAGTTGATTAACATGATTTGAATTAGACAACTTTTTTTTTAAGTCAGAGGCCGACTAAATCTAATCGTTCAGTATCAGTGTTTCTTTCAGACATTTTTCTTTGGGGGGTGGGGGGTATGTATTTTAAGGTTCCCAGAAAGATGCGCAACGGGAAAACGCGCAAACAGAAAAAAGCGCAAAAAGAAAAAAAACAACGCAGAAATTCGCGCACACAGAAAATGCGCAAAGAGAAATTTTAGCACAAAGACTAGATGACACATTTATACGCAATTTTGTTTGCGCTTTTTTCCGTTGCGCATCTTTCTGGTCATCATATTTTATGTGTAGGCCTAAATAATATTTCGTTCTTTGTTTTTAAGTAAACTCGGCTTGACAAGTTGGACTATAGTCTTGTCCTACCGTTTTATACACCAATTTTACAGCAATGACAATATATATTTAAAAAATCAACACCTCAATAATAAAATATCTAGAAAATGTATGTGGGGGTAGTGAAATCGATTCATTTTAAAACCATTCTAGAATGGATTTGTTTCGCTATAAACACGGTTTGTACGTATTTGGTGCCCCCCCCCCCCCCCCCTCCAACCCCGTCTTTCCTTGATGTCCTGGGCACCTGCTTTGTTAAAATCAGTCATGATAGCTGTGCGACAGCTAGCTTAATCAAACCGTAGTTGGCTAGGAACATGCCTGTCATAACTGTAACCTATCTACGTCACTTGAGTGAATGAATGACTTCCGGGCGGAGGGTTGTCTCTCTTGGCGAAACAAAAACTCAAAGCTGAATGCCGGATCTTGGCACTTGACGGTTTCATGTTGTGAGTTGTTGCTGACGGCCCTCCACGCGCCGTCCTCACTAACAGTGTTTCTTCCAGACTTTTTTCTCCGGGGGGGGGGGGGGGGCATTTGAAATTTCTTCAGGGGGGGGAGGGGCGCACTGGTAAAAGTATATATTTCTATATAAACCCCCCCCCCCCCCCCCCGAAGAGGGAAGAAACTCTGATCGCCCGTAGAACCTACATTTATGTCCACAAATTGGGGAATCTAGATGGGTTAATTTATAAATATATTCTATTGGGGGGGGGGGGGGGGGGTCCCTCTCGAGATCCGCCTATAGCTACTAGAAATACATTAAAATATTAAGAACAACTAATCCGCCAATGTAACTACAAAGACAAAAAAAAAGAAACACGCCAACACTAAAATCGCTATTTCTTATCAGACAATAAAGTTAGAGGTGGTGGTGGGAGGGGGGGTGTCATAAACAACGTCACACGCAGAGTACATGTGACGTAGGAAAGGGATCAGCTGCCTGGTGTTGATTATCAACCCCCCCCTCCTCATTCTGTAAAAATATGTAGTGGTGAAATGAACGCAAGCACGTTAGGATGTTAACCTAAACACAAATTATGTTAGTCTAAATACAAAAATGTCACTTTGTTTTTAAACCCGATTTGGTATCAAAATAATGTTTAGTAAGTTACATGTAATTTCTTTTTTCTTGCCAAACAGAATGTAGAACTAGATATCTAGTAAAAAAGCCTAACAAACTGGATGAATCCTCATGCCGTCGACACCATACCTAGCAATGCTATGCATTAGAGAATGTTTTTAATGATGTGTAGTTGTAGGTCTACATCTGGGGTTCTATGTGCGGCAAGTTTATTATGAGTGATTTTAAAATGTTGGCTGCCAAACACAAAAAGAGTTTGCTAACCATTGCGATTAGCTTCCGTCTTTAACCAATCCTGCTTGTATTGTATTTTCATCAACTTTAATGACGCGAATATAGAGTTATGCCTAAATAAAGGTTTATAGCAACGTCAATGAAAAAAATATAAATGAAGACAATGGGGAAATATTTCCTGTGTGTTGACATGCAGTGAGTTGTTTATTGAATGCTTACATGGAATGTAATACATTTACTTGAAGACAGTTATTTTAATTTTTAAAATGTCTTTTTTTAGCAAGTTCACCCCCCCCCCCCCCCCCCCCCCCGCATCTGTCCCTGGATCTACACAATGTTATTACTTAGCGTTAGATCTATGCAATTCAGCTACTCAGTATCAGAGATTTTATAATTTTATTTGAACGTAGAGTTGGTTCAATACAAGTTCGTTTAAACTTAGCGTTAGATCTATCCAATTTTATTGTTCAGCGATAAATGTACAAAGAAAGCGAATGTCCCGATCCTTCCCTCCTCAACCCCCCCCCCCCCCCCTCCCTCTCGATTTGTGCAGAAGTCTTAACAGTTTATGACATTTTATTTTCACTAAACCCGTGTGTTCGTATCAAACAAAATTTATAGCCGTAATCCTCTTGGCTTGTTTGGACAAGATCTATAACTATGGCAAAAGTTTTGAATATGTTGTGGTGGATTCTAGAATATTCTAGATAAACTTTTCCCCCAAAATGGTTTCAAAGATACCGGTAAAAAAAAAACAACTGTAGAAACTGATAGGTGTTTGGGTGTGTTTATGTAATGGCTGTCAAAAAGTCACGTGGCTTTACACAATGCACGCCCCTCTCCACGGTCCTAGACGTTTGAACAGACTATTCCAGTATACATGAGATGACGTGGTTCCTAAACCATCCAGTGAAATAGGTTAAAGCGGTGTTTATTCCAGACTTTTTTTTTACTCGGGGGGGGGGGGGGGGGGGCACTTCTACGTTATGGTCGTCACGTCACCAGTGTTTCTTCCAGACTTTTTTCTCCGGGGGGGGGGGGGGCACTTGAAATTTTCGGGGGGGGGGGGGCGGTAAACTTTCTTCGGGGGGGGGGGGCGGACACTGTTTAAAGTATATATTTTCTATATAAATTATATAAATTTCATTTCGTTCGGGGGGGGGGCGGTAAAAAAATTTCGGGGGGGGGGGGGGGGGCTTTGCCTCCCCCCGAAGAGATGCCTGGAAGAAACTGTGCACGTCACTTAGGCTAAACTTGTTGTAGAGACGAGACGATGGACACTATCCAGTTCCACGCAAAGGACGCCACGCCGGCTTAGCTTCGTGTAGTCGTAGGGACCATGGACACTGTCCTGTCCAGGTCTACGCAAAGGACGCCACGAGTCAGAGTGAAACAAGGTACAAGGGAGATAACTGGACGGCCGAATCAGAAGAGTGATAGGGGAATTAGTTAGTTGGACACAATACGCTGCCCTTCTGAGACCTAAGTCCTTGTGGGAATGTAAATATGGTGTGCTATTCACATAAACAGTGTTAGATCTTCGATTAAAGAAAACTAGCTTGGTTTCTTTAAGTCAGGGCTATGTTTAAAATAAAAATAGTTCACGTGATCATGCCTCACCACCACAGCAGAGTTGATGAAGGGGATAACTGGGTAAATTTGTAAATTGATCCATGAAACTCTCATTATTTAATCCATTTCAGGCAGGTGATTCTGTTGTATGTATGAGAAGGAAGAATTTTCAGTGTACAAAAATGTAGGCCTAGCCCTTTAAAAAAGCCCTACCATGCTGGTGCAAAGTTTGAATGTTTTAAATGATTTATTTTACTTACTATACAGCGAAGACCAGTTAAAAATTTTAATTTTCTACAAATGCCAAAACATTTGTAGCTGAAGGTGAGTAAACGAGTAGGAAGTCAGAAGAAAAAGGCTGATAAACTACTACAAAAAACCCGACAAGCCCTGGCCAGTTTAACAAGCATGACATCAGATGATGTCTAGTTTCTGGTGAGCAAACAGATATCTGGATGTTAGTGACCTCTAAACTAGACACCCTCTTAGACCAAACACAATAGACTATAAAGAATATAATTATTTCTGATTTTTTTTAATTCTTCAAGAAAACAAAAACAATGCGTACATACCAGTACAACTATTTCAAACATTTTAACAAGGCCACATACACACATTCCACACCAAATTATTTTTTTTTCAGTTTTCACTTTTAGATACAAGGGTAAGTAATTAATGGATAGAATCACCAGTGATGTAGAGAAACTGCTCTTTTTCTTCTCTAGCTGTTACAGAATATTCATCACTGGTTTGTACAATTCATTGACCCTAATTTTCTGGACCTCAAAATCTTCAATATTCTAGTAAAGGCTTTCTAAGTGCTGTATAAAACACCAAATTACCCATATCATAACAAATAGGGACTTATATTTTAGGACACAAATTTCAATATACAGAATAAGGATCTCTAAATATGTTAAACATTAAACAATGTACCCTTACCATTAGACAGTGGGCCATAATGTTTTGGACCAAAAATCTTCAATTTACATGTAAAGGTTTTTCTTAATGCTGTGTAAAATACCACACCAATCACCCTTACCATTAGAATCTGCTTATAGTCTGTGTAACATTATAACTCATCTCTAAAACTGTCCTCATTTAAAATTCAATGACTAGTTCCATGACCAGTGTCCAGATGCAAGGCAAAGATTTATCTTGGACACATGGCATGTCGTCCACCATCAACTGGCAGGCTGGCGCCAGTGATGAAGCTGGCGTCATCCGAGGCCAGGAAAGCTATAGCCCTGGACACTTCATCCACCTGGCCAGGTCGCCCTAAGGCATGAGTCGTCTTACACCTCTCTAGGAACTGGCAGTTAAGAAACAAAATTTTGGCAATTCACATTTAAAAGATTCAGATTACAAAAGCATGGGGTATAATTTAATTAGTTTAGAGAAAAATGAATTTTTCTCTTTTTTTTTTAAATCTACGCTTAAACAAACAACTACAACATCACTGATTTATAGTTCTGATATTACAAGCACATGCTTAGTAAAAAAAATAAAAAATGAAAAAAAAAGGCTGAAGGATTAAACTTAAACCCAAAAAATAAATGATGATAAAAATTGCCCAGGGCTGCCTAAAAAAACACTAGTTTTCCATACTACATTTCATTGCATACACATTTAATGCTGCATTGTCACTAATTCATCTGGTTAATACTAATAGCCAGATGAGCTAAATCACATGTGATGTTTCTGAATAAAGTTGACAGATTGTAAAATGTAATGTCATTGTTTTACTTATAGATAATATAATTGATAACCATGTTTGCACAAATACATTTTAAGTTTTGTCAGTGCAATTTCAGTATTTCAATAAATAAGAAATAGGTGCACATTCACACATCCTGAGCAAATAGGCAGCCCTGGGTAGCCTCAAAATAGAATGAACAAGACAATAAAAACTTACAGCTGCGTAAGCACTTTCATCCAAACCTCCTCTCTTCTGAAGCTCTGTGACTATCACACCAGGACTAAACAAAAATAGCTTACTTCAGTCATGTAAACAGGACTAAACAAAAATAGCTTACTTGAGTCATGTAAACATGACTAAACAAAAATAGCTTACTTCAGTCATGTAAACAGGACTAAACAAAAATAGCTTACTTCAGTCATGTAAACAGGACTAAACAAAAATAGCTTACTTGAGTCATGTAAACATGACTAAACAAAAATAGCTTAAATCAGTCATGTAAACATGACTAAACAAAAATAGCTTAAATCAGTCATGTAAACATGACTAAACAAAAATAGCTAACTTCAGTCATGTAAACATGACTAAACAAAAATAGCTTAAATCAGTCATGTAAACATGACTAAACAAAAATAGCTTAAATCAGTCATGTAAACAGGACTAAACAAAAATAGCTAACTTCAGTCATGTAAACAGGACTAAACAAAAATAGCTAACTTCAGTCATGTAAACAGGACTAAACAAAAATAGATTACATCAGTCATGTAAACACAGGACTAAACAAAAACAGCTTACTTCAGTCATGTAAACAGGACTAAACAAAAATAGCTAACTTCAGTCATGTAAACAGGACTAAACAAAAATAGATTACATCAGTCATGTAAACACAGGACTAAACAAAAACAGCTTACTTCAGTCATGTAAACAGGACTAAACAAAAATAGCTTACTTCAGTCATGTAAACACACAGGACTAAACAAAAATAGCTTACTTCAGTCATGTAAACACAGGACTAAACAAAAACAGCTTACTTCAGTCATGTAAACAGGACTAAACAAAAATAGCTTACTTCAGTCATGTAAACACACAGGACTAAACAAAAATAGCTTACTTCAGTCATGTACACACAAAACTAAACAAAAATAGCTTACTTCAGTCATGTAAACACACAGGACTAAACAAAAATAGCTTACTTCAGTCATGTAAACACACAGGACTAAACAAAAATAGCTTACTTCAGTCATGTAAACATAGGACTAAACAAAAACAGCTTACTTCAGTCATGTATACAGGACTATACTAAATAGCTTACTTCAGTAATGCAGAATTTGCTATGCTATTTATAGCTATGCTTATGCAAAGCAATTTTTATATTTGTACAAAATTTCTTAAATTTGGTATAAAATTTGGTTAATGTCTCTGTATTTCAAAGTGTATATTTTAAAAATTTTATTAGCATTTTGATGATAAAATACAGCTGTCATCAGTCTGGAAGAATTAATGTACAACTAAAATAAAACAACTGGATGTATTGTTAAAGATGTTTAAAAAAAAAAATTTAAAGTAAAACTTACTTAACTGCATTACACCTAACTTGCTTAGGGGCAAGCTCTGTAATAGAATTATATGACAGAAATTTAATAACATTTTAAAATACATTGAATAACATTTTAAATGCAACATTTTTAAGAGATGACAATAGTTTCTTGAGATTCATTTTGAAAAAATAGTATTAAGTAAATAGAAGCTTTTTCAGATAAAGATACTTTTATTATAACAAATAAATAAAAAATTAACATCTATGAATCACCATAATAACTAAACACTATCAACTGACATGTATGTCCTTTGTAACTTCTTAATAACAAAACACACCTGCAGGACATTTAAGAAATGTGTAACAACATCGCACACTACTGTAACTGACTGACAAAAATAGCACAGTTTATTTAGCCTTACCTAGAGCCACACATCTTGTAAACCGGTCTCCTAATCCTTTAGTCAAATAGCACCTAATGTTAATTTAGACTTACCTAGAGCCACACATCTTGTAAACTGGTCTCCTAATGCTTTAGTCAAATAGCACCTAATGTTAATTTAAACTTACCTAGAGCCACACATCTTGTAAACTGGTCTACTGATGCTTTAGTCATATTGTAAGCCAAAACACCAGGGAACTGAAAGGTTGATCAAAATTTATTTTTCATAATAATCTTTATGTATAATATTAGCTATTTTATAAACCAATTCCTTAAAAGTTTGCTAGCTGTTAGCTTCAAAACAATAAAATGAAGAATTGTTAAAATATTTATTAATTTTAAATTTTCCTGATGACTATTCTACCAGCATAATAGTTGTATCATTGCAAAATAAAACTTAAGTACCAAACAATTAAGTGATATCTTCTGCCTCTGAGAAAGATATTTAAACCATTTTTACTATGAATAAAAAGTAAAGAGCCACAAAGTTAGTAATTTTTAATATAATTGTACAGTGTGTTACATGAAAATCAACAAAAGTTGAAACAGCGCAGCCTTCTCTAGTTGTTTACTTACAGATCTTATTCCATTGACACTGGATATATTAACAATATTTCCTTGTGTGGAGATCAGATGGGGTGTACACAACATGGTCATCTGATACATCGATCTGTGCGAACAGCAAGAAAAATGATTAGTTTAGTTTATGTACTATCCACATGCACTATTTACTATGCATTACTTACTACAAATTATGTACTTTGTATCAGTTAATACCTACTTACTATGTATACTACACAATTTTTTACTTAATTATATACTTTAGATTACTAATGATGTATTACAGACTATGCCTAAAGCAATATAAAGCTTTTAAATTTGATTTAGAAAAACTGCCATAGGCACACTTTGCCTATCTAACTTAAAAATAAATTATTAACTACCATTACTGTATTAAATTGAAAAATATTAAGAGAATGTTAATACAGAAGAAATTATTAAATATGATTTGCTGAACTATATAAATGTTACAGGGGAGATAACCACTGGGGCATCAAATTTTTAAAACATGGTCAGCTTTTAATATATTCCTTTATATAAAAGTTAGGTTTAAGTACAAGAATTTGATGAGAAACCAGGTATTTTCTTTATTATGTAATGGCTTTAGTGTAATTGAGATTAATTAAATTTAAATAGTGGAAAAAATAAAAATCACCTAACATTCACATTAAACATCCTATCAAATTGCTCCATTGATGTATTTTCAATACTGCCCATTTCCAAAATACCGGCATTGTTAACCTGTTCAAAATAATAGAAGGCCATGAGTTCATGGCAAAATGTAAAAAAGAAAGTGACCCTCCACCATGAGTTGAGTTGATTAGCTATGATATCATGTTTAGAGTTTTAAAGAGTTCTAGTGGTAAAGCCCTTCTTAGCATGTTCTCTAATGAAATGAACATTTAAAACTATTACAAAAGTGAAAAATTTCAAATTTACTCCCTAACATCCTTAGACCACACATTGCTGGCTAATACTCTAGTTGTAATTTATTTAAACAAACCTAAATGTGTCCACACAAAAAAATAATATTAGAAATATGATGATTAAAATTTAAAACCAATGTTTTAAGCCCTGGTTTATTTTTTCAGCTATGGCTTAATGTACAAAGTGACTCCTGTCATGGAGTATCAAGTATAGACCTTTTTAACTGTTTATAATTCTTATATATGTTATATAGGCATTTACTTTTAGTGTGCCTGGGACATTGCTACCCCTGTCATAAACTATGAACAATTAATAACCCCAAGTCTAGAGAATGTATATTATAGATGTTACTGGCAAAGTGAATACCTAGGCATTCTCAAAATGAGCTGTAAAAGAATAAAATAAATTTCATTTTATACTAGCCCGGAATTTATAGAAAGTCTAAAAATGGTAAAATTATCATACTCCACCTAGGTTTGTTTCTGGACCCTGGCACTAATGCTAAGTGTAGACTTAACCCTAGCATGACATTACAATTGAGGTTATGTTGGACAATTTTGAATTAAAAAAACTTAGTGCAGGGTATTTACAGATGGCTAATTAACTTGTGGGATAATGTGGGGAGGAGTGGTGATACAGTTGATCTTTAGTTAGGTTCATGTCAATGTGTTTCTACAGCGTAAATAATATGTTAAATGAAATTTGTGATGGCAAGTTTTAAGTTATACATATAAAATGCCTCTCTCATGCTCAACCCTTCCTGTCAAAGTCCTGCTGATCCTCTGAACATTAAATGAAGCTAAAACCACTTTCTGCTGGTATAAATAATAAAATAATAAAAGCACTTACTAAAATGTTAAGCTTCCCAAAGTGTTTTATTGTTGAATCAACAATCCTTTCTATATCTTTGCTGTTACTTAAGTCACCAACAATTAGTAATGGCTGAAAAATACAACATTCAATAGCCATTTAAACAACTTGATTAATTCTTTTTTTTAGTCCAATCTAGCAATAATTTGTTACCTGTTCTGAAGTATTTTTGCTACATTCTTCTCCAACTTTGTTTAAGTTATCCTCTTTACGCCCAGTAAGAGCAAGAGTTGCACCAAGCTTTGAAAACAAAACTGCTGTTGCAGCACCAATACCGCTACTTGCTCCTGAAAATCGAAAAGGAAAAGCTGGTTTTATTTATGTTAATTAACTGGCAATATGAGTTATTACTTGATTACTATTAATATTAATTAGTTTAGCCTAACTAAATGTTGTTGTTTTTTTTTTAATAGACCCAAACTGGCTCAATTCTCAATAATTTTACATCTAGGCCTACAGAAATTTTACCTTAAATAGGCTATTCAATTTGTTATAATTTTTTCCCCACAATAATTTGATTATGGCCATGCATGACACTGCAAAACAAATAGGCCCTACAATGAATAACTGTGTGGAATTTCAATTTAGTACATAGAAGTTGATTTTGCTTGTTTTGTTATAGAATATAGATGCTCGAGGGGAAATAACTCCTCTGATTAAATATATTTACTAACATCTAGATTTATATCTACTCTGTATTTATATCTAGATCTACTCTGTTTACGTTGTTCGTGGAGAACTATAGAGTCTAATCCTAAATCATCTCAAGAACTATTACTAGGCTTAAAACAGCACACAGCGTATTTTATTTCGTCTCATATTAACATATTGGTAATCCCTTAGTTTAGCGTCGGTTATTATTCCGGAATCGTATAGCAGTAAAAAACAGTAAAACAATGTCAAAGTCTGTCACACACTTCCGGAATTCACCGGAAGTACTGTAAACCATACTTTATTTGGCGTCATCTTTTATTTTTATACAGAATATTTAAAATTTGGATAGATTTATTTTTGTAATTATTTTTACATTTTGTAATCATTTTTACTATTTTCGTAATCTAGATTTTTTTAACTTGGCCTAGCAGCTAGATATCTAGCTAGATCTAATTAATTAATGGTCGCAAATCCGCTGCAAGCCAAAAACATTAAATTATTACTATTAGGCCCTACATTTGACTTCATTATTTATATTTATATTAATATATGTTTTTTTTTTAGATCTACTAATTTAAAACTTCTATTACATTTATATTTATTCTTGTTTCCTTTTGTCGATTAAACTTAAAAAATTAAAACATTAATTTACTACAATCGACTTTCAATTTATTTATATTTCAATGGTCAAATAAACCATGGTTTACCGTTACTCTAATTACCGAGACTCAACAAACATTACCCGATAATTAAAAAATAATTTCCGACGCTAAACTAAGGGATTACCAACATATTTGTCTACATTTTTACCTGTGATCAATGCAACTTTGCCTGTGAGATTTTTTACTGCAGCTGCCATTGAGTCGCTAGCTGTAGGCCAAGTAATCTAATCAGATAGTTTCTTTGTCTATATACTTAATAGTTAATACAGATCTAGATTAGTTTGAAACAATGCAATCTGTGGCGATTTTACCAACGATTTGTTAAAATAAATAGATTAGATTTAAATCTGAGTAAAGCTGGTAAATCCGAACTCATGGATAGTCTAAATTCGTGGCGCCAGATCACGTGATTCTTTTTTAACCTTTACACTTTGTCCTATCAGTAACCCCGAAGTGAAATGACACTTCGTTCAAGTAACTTTTCGTGTCTTGCAAAGTTCGAAAACACTTATTTTTATCAATATTTACTGTTAATAAGGCTATATTAAATTATATAACATGGCATTTTTAAATAATAAAGTTAGGTTAGAAAAAAACAATACAATAAAAAGATTCGTTGACAGCCGTAAAAAAAAAAAAGCTTTTCGCTCAAATTATTATGAAGCAAATTAAAAACAAAAAACACGTGAACGACTAGATCTAGATGTAAAAGAACTACTATCGAGAACCTATGGCGAATTAGCAGGTGTCGTGATCGAGTCGGTAACAGTGTTTCTTTCAGGCACGTCTACAGCAGAGGCGTAGCGACCCTTCCCGGCGCCCGGGGACAAACTTTCGATTTGCACCCCCCCCCCTCGAACTTTTTATTTACACCCCCCTCGAACTTTTCATTTGCACACCCCCCCCCTCAAACTTTCAATTTGTTTTTCCAACCCATTTTGCCCCCTCCCCCCTAAGTTCGGCGCCCGGGTACATATGTCCGTCTCCCCCTCGCTACGCCCCTGGTCTACAGCCCCCGAACGAAATAGAATTTAGGCCAACAAATTTAACTCCCCGTCCCACCTCCACCCGTTCGGAGAAACATGTCTGAGGAAAAAAAAAAGTTGATGTCCTTATGTGTAGCCGACAGATTTGGTTATAGGCTTCCACAGGATAGAAGTTTAAAATAGTTTTTTTTTTTTTTATAGAAAATCCGTTTAAAACTTGTGTTAACTATGTCAGCATTGATAACTATCCCACAATGAACAAGGGAAACAATTTACTATGAGATTAGACTATGTGTGTAATCCACCCAGTTGCCAGAAGAAATAGTATTTTCCATTATAAAAAGTATACAGATGTGATGATGTGATCCACCCAGTTGCCGGGGACAGGGTACCAAATATGTTGACGGGAAAGGGTTAATAGTAATAAAATGTGATTGCTTAGCAAGGGAGACGACTTACTATTTTTTAAAATAAAAAACAGTTTAAAAATACATAACTTTTTTTCTTTGTGGGATGGGGTTGGCTGAAGTGAAACCTTATTTCAAAGAGGGTGGTGTCTGGCTTTTTGTTGCTATGGGTGGGGAGGATGTAGAGATCGGCACAAATAAGCATGATGTCATTAATAACAAAAACGTAAAAAAAATTTTTAATAAATGCAAACTTTATTTTTTAAATTAGCTATTTTGTATCTTGACATGACAGTCTAAACAGAATTATCTTGGACACATGGCATGTCTGCCTCCATCTACAGGAAGGTTGGCCCCAGTGATAAATGACGCATCATCTGATGCCAGAAATGCTATTGTTCTGGCAACCTCTTCTGGCTGTCCTGGTCTTCCAAGGGCGTGGGTAGTTTTACTTCTTTCTAGAAACTGTTCAAAGGCAAATAGCAATAATTTTACAGTGCTTGGCGCAGTTTTATTTTCACTACTTTGTCTTAGCATTTTAAAACATTTGGAAACAATAAGCATTGGGGAACAAAAACGTTACATTTAAGAAGATTATGCAGGTTTACTTATAGTTCTGGGAATCAAAGTGTTTTTGCTTGTTTTTTTTAATGGCGATTTGTATGCTTAATGGGATGTTTATGTAATTACATTTTTTTATGAGAGAGAAAGATAAAAGAAACTTACTGCTGCATAAGCCTCTTCATTCATTCCACTTCTTTTGTGAACCTCTGTTATGACAACGCCTGGACTGGTGGAAGATAATTTTTACATTTTATTAATAGCAAACTATGTGCTACAACAACATAATAAACCTAGGAAAATGAACTTACTTTACAGAATTACACCTGACTTGTTTTGGTGCCAGCTCTGTAATTAAACATAAGTGCATTTGTGTAAATTTTCTTTTTTGATAAATACAAGTCTGATTTGAAAGAAATTATTGCTTATTACCATTTCTTTGATTAGTGTTTATTTTATTGAAACAAAACAAAATAAAACTATCTATTTGCAAAATAAATTATCTTGTATGAAACAATGTCTTAACAAACATCACATCAAATTACTTGATATCTCTAATAATTATTAAAAATGTGTATATATCAAAGATGGTGGTGTCTTAATTTGTCCATATAAAATTGTTTTTGGCCTAACTTAATTTATCAAACCTAGAGCAACACATCGTGTGAACTGGTCAACGGAAGATTTGGTCATGTTGTAGGCAAGAACTCCAGGAAACTGTAGGTAGTACAATTTAGATTATAAGAGCAAATAAACAAACATGAATCTAAAAATGAAAGTTGCTCTATGTAAAATGTGGGCATTTCAAACATATACATTAAATAATTTATGATGACAGTTGATATTTTATATTATTAATAAACCTTGAGATCTTTAACAGAAAAAAATATTAAAGATTCACTGACTATTTCAAAACAATTACATTTAAAAATACATACTGAGCGGATGCCATTTACACTGGATACATTGACAATGTTGCCTTTAGATGCAACAAGATAAGGAGTACACAACATGGTAAGATGGTAGATAGATCTGCAATAAGGACAAAAATATAAAGATATCAAATTGTTAAATTAAAATCAATATTCTATCAAAATACATTTAAAAAAAATACAGATCTTAAAAATTAAAAAAAAAAAATATTTTAAAAGCTTTGTTTTATTAAGTTGCTTGGGTTTAAGTTTAGTCTTTAATGTGTATAGAAAAAAAGTATGTTATTCAGGGGTTCACAAATGCTTTCAATAAAGCTTAAGTTTGAAAATTGCATTTTGTTTTATATATAGCAGTTTTATTGTTTTCTTTGACATTCAATAAAAAAAAAATAGTACTAGTGTACACAACCTGACATTAGTATTAAACATACGATCAAATTGTTCCAGCGAGGTAGTTTCAATAGTACCAGATTCTAATATGCCAGCACAGTTAATCTGTTAAGTAAAAATTTCAGGAAAACATGAATGTTAAATCTCAAATGAAAAAGGAAATAATAAAGAGCTGAAGTGAAGAAAAAATTCAATACTATCTATGTAAGGGAAATTTTTGTTGTATATTTTATATAGCTATTTTAAAACTTTAAGGTTAGCAGCTGTGATCTCTAACATGCAACCACATGGTTTCCAACCCCATGTAATAAACAATATATGTTGCATGATCTAAAGAAAAAAAAAGCCTATTGAATGAGAAGATTAGCCTGTTTTACAAAATTCATGATCACTCTTAATTAATTAATTAAACAACCTATTAAATTACTGAGTTCATAGGTCAAAATTTCTTAACACAGTTGTTTTTTGTTCTTACTAGAATATCTATTCTCCCATAATGCTTTATGGTCTCCTCAACAATTTTCTTCACATCTTCATCATTGGTTACATCTCCAACAATTAGTAGAGGCTTTATGGAGTAAAAGTATGTTGAAAACAAATTAGGTATGATGCACATATTATACAACATAATATTCAAACAGTTTTGACCCAACAATCCATCTCTTATAATATTACAGAGACCAAAACCTCCATTTATTATAAGAAATCCAGAAGCTACCATAGAACAATAATCTACACAAAGTTTGCTGGATCGTTTGTATTAAATAACTATTGCTGCTGATGAAATGTTTTGAAATAACTGCAGACCTACATATATTTGCTTAAAAGGATGATTATAAACAGAAATAAGTAGCAAACAAGTTTTAAAATATAATTAATTACAGAAACAAGTGTTCTAACCTATACAACACTACTCTTGACCACCAACTAAACATATTTACAATATAACAAGCTGATCAACCATCATCTTTTTCCTGTTCCTACCCAGGCCACTTTGGGCAGATGAAGTAGAGTTCATCTGTTTCAATTACCTCTGCATAAAGTCGGATAATGTGGTCAGCACTATGCTTACCTTTGTTTTAGAAACATTTATACACTCCTCTGAAACTTTGGTCAAATTTTCCTCATTGCGTCCTGTCAAAGCTAACGCTGCACCTAACTGAGAGAAGAGTACAGCTGTAGAAGCTCCAATACCACTACTTGCTCCTGCAAAAAAAAATGTTTACAAGTATATCTAGTCATGGAAAGCAATGGCAACTTAGTACAGATTTCACAATTCTTTAACAGCCAACCAAGATTGCACAAGCAAACTCTATTTCATCTGCCTAAGCCGCAAAAGGAGCATAAAAATTGTATAAAACCATGGTTACCTTAGACTAAATTGAATAAAGATTGATAGTTTGTAACGAAGTGAACATAAGGGGAAATAAAGATTACTGTTAGATCCTCAAGTATGGTAAAGGTGTTATCAACAAGAACATCATGCTTCTCTTCCATGTTTCCACCCCCCCCCCCACCTGCATGGTCACAAAAAGATCAGCTTCACCACTTAAATTAAGTTGCTTCACTCTACTACATACTTCCCCCTTCCCTCATAATCAGTCAGAGCCCCACTACCCCCACCTCTTTTTTAAATGTGCATGACGCAGAATTAAAAAAGAAAATATGACCATTTATTTTCTTTTTATCATTTTTCTCATTTAGAATGTCATACAAAAAATGTTGTACCAAATTTTTAATTTTTCATTCTTTTTATTGTAATCTCAATCGGCTGTTAGGAGTGGGTTTTTTTTTTTTGTCTTTTAATTAAAAAACATCAGGACTAAAAAAACTAGCAACATATATTCAATCAAGATTACATTGCAGGATATGTGCGTTGTAGGCCTAGATCCATCTAGAATGAATCAAAATAGATTTTTAGGTCTAACTGAAGCTAGGCCTACTTTGTGAACATAAAGGGATGTAACACTGATAATGTGTAGATAACCGGAAACGAAATTAAAAATAGCTTCTTTTTTTTCTGTGTGATCAGAACGAGACAGTTTCCTGCTCGGATTGTCGGCCATTTATTTTTGTCAACCTGAGTTTCTGATTGAAGTACCCCAGTTTATTAGAAACCACAAATTATTTGCCTCACAAAAGTGTCTTCAATTGTAGGGGGTAAGATAATCACCAGAAACAAAGGAATACCTGTAATTAAGGCTACTTTGCCGCCGAGATTTCTTTGTTGCTCTGCCATCTTGATGTGTCACACGACCGAAAGCAAAAGAATTTGTTGAAAATTTAGATTAACTGAGATCAAAATTCTGAAACAAAATATTTTTCTAGAAAGATCTAGAAGTTGTAACATGAAAAGATCAAATTATGTTGGGTTACTTATACCAGTGCCTGATAATGGCACGATTTTAAAGAGTACTCTTTAAAAGGGGGTAGCCGGTAGATCTAGATCTAGACTATTCTAGACTAGTTCTAAAAAGTAAAAGTAGGAGATTCTAACAGCTGAGATTACCTCACTTGATGAGTTACTTTTACTTAGGCCTAGATCTAGATCTATATCTATATTTTACTTGAGTGTTGAGTATCACTTGCTATGCTGTATTGCTAATCATTAGATCTCGGCTAGAAATCTTGTAATTTAGTAGGCCTAATCAATAATTCAGTGTAGATAACCTGGGCTCAACCCTAGCTAGTCCTACCATACAACTAGGTACTAGGATAAATTTTCAAAATTGGGTTTTTGGGGAAACAACTACTACAGTTAAAAGGAGCAGAAAATTACAATAACAGAACAGTTTTCATTTTTGATGTAGCTCAAACGGTTAAATAGTTATGATTTTTTTTCGTATTAAAAAAAGCGTTTTTTTTAACATAGGATTTTTTTCAATTTCTGTGTTAGAATTTTTTAAAGCGTTTACTAAAATTGTCATAGCCTGTAAACCGTGTGATCAAATTTGTTATAACTTTGTAGTAACTTAAGTTATCATATATGTTAACATAATAAAAAATAAAAAGAGAACTTCATAGGTAGAATTCTAAAAAAAACTGGAGGGGAGGAGGGGACCCCCTTATTTTTGCATTCACAGTGCTTTCATACAATCACAGTTTAAAGTTAAACTATTTGAAATATCAAGCTGAAAATTGCTCAGAATGTGTGGCTATGGATGTGATCATTAATACCATCAAAATATTGATCATAATTTGAAAGTTTTTTGTTCAAAGAGCAAATGAGTTGATAAATTATGCATTTTTACAAAAACCGAAATCTGGTTAGTGTAAAATGGAAAATGATGCCAAATTTGAACTTTTAAGTATTTATGTCTCAAAATTGGCCTGATTGTAGTTAACCCTAAACCTAAATAGATACAATCAAATTGTATGTTTTAGTTATATATGTTTGCCTAAAATAGGGGGTGGAAGAATGTACCCCTCTATATTTTTAACACCGAAACTTTTCACACAACTCAAAATTAACTCAAACTATTTAAAATATCAAGCTGAAAACTGATCAGAATGAAGTTCTGTAAGTGTGTCTGTTAATATTATATAAATATTGATATTGGTAAGTTTCATAAATGGTTATATGTGAATTCTAATTTTTTTTTAATATATGAAACCATATTTTAAACTATTGTAATTTGTTTTAGAAAATTAAAGATGAACAAGTTATTTATTTCCATCAAAGAAATTTAATTTCCATCACTGTTTAATATTACATTGTTCTTCCTTTGCCTATGCTGTAGAATTGCAGTTTCTATCTGGAATAATGAACATTACTTTAGTAACATGTCATTAAAATAAATGAAACATAACTAATTAGTAAACTGACCAACCACTGTAGACATACGGTCATTAAGATCGACTTATTAAAATTCCCGACAAACCCCTTGACATCATTAATGACTTATTGTGCGTGACAATAACTCCCGTCATTAATGCTCACGTCAATATGTGCTTGACAATAACTCCCGTCATTAATGCTCACGTCAATATGTGCTTGACAATAACTCCCGTCATTAATGCTCACGTCAACATGTGCGTGACAATGACTCCCGTCATTAATGCTCACGTCAATATGTGCTTGACAATAACTCCCGTCATTAATGCTCACGTCAACATGTGCGTGACAATAACTCCCGTCATTAATGCTCACGTCAATATGTGCTTGACAATAACTCCCGTCATTAATGCTCACGTCAATATGTGCTTGACAATAACTCCCGTCATTAATGCTCACGTCAATATGTGCGTGACAATGACTCCCGTCATTAATGCTCACGTCAATATGTGCGTGACAATGACTCCCGTCATTAATGCTCACGTCAATATGTGCTTGACAATAACTCCCGTCATTAATGCTCACGTCAATATGTGCTTGACAATAACTCCCGTCATTAATGCTCACGTCAATATGTGCGTGACAATGACTCCCGTCATTAATGCTCACGTCAATATGTGCGTGACAATGACTCCCGTCATTAATGCTCACGTCAATATGTGCTAGACAATAACTCCCGTCATTAATGCTCACGTCAATATGTGCGTGACAATGACTCCCGTCATTAATGCTCACGGCAATCTGTGTGTGACAATGACTCCCGTCATTAATGCTCACGGCTATACAGTTCTAGAATCTAGCTCTCGTCGAAATGGCTCAAAATAAACGCCGTAGATAAAAATAAAACCTATTTTTGTTAGTATTCAAGATGTAAAAAGTCCACAACATTAATCTTAGAAGAATTCAAATAAACAGGACTACTGCGTTTATAATCAGAACAGAGCGTTGAAAACTTGGAATACTGTTTTAAATCCTTCATTATAAACTATGGTAAACGATCTTCCATAAGTGACGTCATTAACTCTCCCCCTATCCTCATTGGTACACTACGTCACCTTTCTTAACCCCAACCCTCGATGCTCACGTAGAACAATGTCAACCTCGGGTCAACGCGTCGTTCAGTGACGTCAGAGGACTGAGGACAGATTCCCGGTGAACGCAGTTAATTTGGGGAAAAAAAAACCATAACCAACAATAATAATGTCAGTTTCGCGTGTTGGTTTAGTAATTAGTAGTGGGCCATCCATACAATAGATCTACATGACGTCACGGAACTGGAGGCCACCGTACTTACTCAACCCCCCCCCCCCCTCCCAACACCCATCTCCTATGTGCAACACATCATCCAAAACGTTATGCCTTCTCGGTCTCAACCTTAAAACCGACCGCTAAATGTATGCGTATATGACAGCATTTCAAATAATAAAATATATAGGCCTAAATAAAGAGTCAATGGGGAATGTGCTATTATTTTCTAGAACTGTCAATTCAAACGATATAATATAGTGATATTAATTAAACAAAGTCTATACTAGATCTAAATAATAAAAAAATAACTGAATACAGTGTAAATTGAAAGTCATATTTAATAAGTCGGTAGTGTTGTTAGCGTGATCGGGCTAGGCCTCTCACGGTACTTCCGGCTTTCCTTTCGTTTTGAGCCGTAACCATCAGAAATGGCGAAGTACATACCTTTTTGGGGAGTGAACCATTAACAATGGGAGCAACTTAGAACTCTAAATTAATAAAGATAATACGTAGAAATGGTCCCTTTGTTTGAGTCTCTACATAAAGTGCGCGTGTCTTCAATAGTTTTTTTGTAATGAATAAAATAAACTTACCTTATTTTCAAAGAATAACTCCTCTTTTTTGGGTCCAGAAAAAAAAACAAAAAAAAACCAAACAAGCTTGATATCCATTTTTCTCCTTAAAACAATCACCAAAAGAAAAATGATCACACGGAAGCGGCAAATTAAGCAAATTTTCGAACATCGTCACTCGCGCCATCGCCGAAAACGCAACAGCCTGGTAACGGGAGAAAAATGACGCCTCGGACGCCGCGGCGCGAGCGTAATCCTAGTACCTACATACAACTAACAGTCAAACCTAACCCTAATTTAAAATTAATTATAAAAGTAGTCAAGATTACACTATTACTTTACTAACCACCTAACACATATTTTCGGAAGAGTATTTAATCAGACATCTGTATTCTCAATCAATCCCAAGTCTCACATAGCCCTAACCTTAAAACTTAAACCGATCAGTCTGGAAAGAACATTTTCGTTTCACTGCGCAAGTACGTTTACAAAATAGCACACAAGTGACCTGGTATTTCTTGTCATCCAAATGTTGGTTGGTTAAGTGGCTGTTGGGCTACCATCGGCTTAAGAATATGGTCAAATGGAAGTAACTGATGCATAATATGATTATTTTGTCACACCAATAATTTTCTCAATAAATTAGGTCTAACTTAACTAGTTTAAGTTCCCAATTAGGCTTAGGCCTACTTGTTAGGGCCTATAGGCTTCAGTTCTTGATTAAGATTGTAAATATTAGGCTAAAAATAGATTATATTTAAAAAGATTGGACCTTCTTACTTAGAATGCAATTTACTAGATCTACATGTGGACTTCTTAAAAAAAAGTGTGTTGGGTTACTGGTAGTTAACTAAATAGAGCACACATAACTTTCTAATGTTAATGCTAACCCTAGTCCTACCAATATTACCCTAAGCCTAACCCTAGTTTCTAACCATAAAACTAGATGAGATTACATTACTACTACTAACAGCCTAACACACTATTTTCAAAAGAACATTATTGAACATCAGTTTCCACAATTAATCTTTTTTTCAGAATTACTAATTTACTAGGCTCATAATAATTAATAGATTTTCTCACTAAATCTAAAATTTACGCAGTTTTCAATTTAAACATGACCACTGAATAATAGACATCCATATTTAATCCATTAGGCACTAATTTTGAAGTTTTTAGTTCGTTTTAAACTAAATTACTTAATTTAATATTTATTGTCACTCACTTCCATGACATGACATACCACTCCACTTTGGTTTGAAGCCAATGCAAACCACATATCGGTTTGACTTTTTAATTGACTATGCACCAGAGTTCCTCACTACTGAGGAGCAAAATAGCTGTCACGTGGTTTTCAAAAAATAAATTGGTTGTGATATGAACGCCAGTCTTATAAAAAAACAGCTCACAATATTTTATTTCTTTTTTCATAGACTGATAAAACTCATAATGCTTTATGTTCTCGCTCATTTTGTACCTACACCGTTGATATCTTAAAAGTTCTATATACATTATAGTCAACTAATATTAGATAATCAGATACAGATAGTATGTGGCAGTAACTTTAAATTGGCCATATTCTTTATACTAATGTAGCCCAACATCAGCAACAAAGAAAGCTAGGTCAGATGCTTTGCTGTTTTGTAAACATATGATATGCAAGTTCTGTGAAAATTTTCACTATTCATATGTATTCTTTTCCATCTAGAATCAGCCTTTTCATAGGCCTAAATTAAATTAGTATGATGAAAACTGTGGTTTCCTAAACTTCAATAACATCTTTATTTAAGGAGGCATAATTTATATAAATGCTAGACTAAAAAGAAATGGACATTCTTTCCATCACCACCAGAAAAATTGTGATTAAAAAAAAATTAAAAAGTTTGATGATTGTTTTGGAAGTTTCCTGATTAACAAAACAAAAAGAGTAATTAAGTGCTGTGTAGCAAGCTCTGATAAACTCGTTTCTAGTGTATATTGTTTACAAATGCACATAACATAATTCCTTTTAGAATATTAACTTGACAAATACTTTTTTTGTTTTAATCAAGGTTGAGGAGCAGCTCTATCATAGGTACAGGTGGCGAAATGGCTATGAAAAGAATTTCAAAGGTATTCTTTTATACAATTATTTAGACTTCATCATTTTTGTAAAATAAGCTCTTGAAAGTTTTATATAAGATGCTTTCTTTCAAAGCACCAGACCTTAATTAGGCCCTAGAATTGGAAAATGTACCCTCAGGGTTAGGTGGACTAAGGGACTGATAGCTGAACTTGACTTTTGGGCTAGAAGCCAAATGCTCTACCATTTGTCTACGCCATCCCATAGGCTTTAAATAAATCTGGAAAATCACTAAATATTTATTTTTCACTCTAAAAATGGTGAAATCAAACATAAACTGAGAGTCTAAATTAGAACTTTAATGACACTAGCTATAGCTTCCTACTTGGCATCACTGTAGTGTAATGTGGATAAAACTGTTTCTTTTCGCAACATCAGTTTTTACTTCTCCACATGACCAAACATTGTTGATACTACCTTTCTGTATGATGACTTGTATTGACACAAATTCTTTTTAGCGAGAGGGCTACATGTAAGCTGCATGTTGTGAAATAGTGACATAAAAACTTCAGGTATCCTTCATATATATCTTGGGGACAGTCAGGTGAAGTTAGCTCTAGATCACAAGTAGTGATTATTTGTTTGCAGCCAGTGTAATACCCAGTTGTTTGCTTTCCAGACTTTCCTTATTAACCTATCTCGTATCAACTAGTGTGAATTTAGGCCTGTCCTACTAGCTCAAAAGAGATATCTTCCTGCCTTAGAAACGCTGTGCCATTACTTTTACATTAAAAAGTCATGTCTATATTTTCTCTATCCAGTAGATTTCCACAGAATATAAAAATTTTGAGCAATCTGTCGTTCACATTTAATTATTGAATATTTTACCAATAGCTTTAAAAATTCTTATAATAAATATTCTTGCATTTTATTTGTAGGAGTTAATGGACTTACATAAAGATCCACCCACTAACTGCTCAGCAGGACCAGTAGGAGAAGACATATTTCACTGGCAAGCTACTATTATTGGCCCAGAAGACAGTCCTTATGCAGGTGGATGCTTCAATCTGAACATACACTTCCCAACAGATTATCCTTTCAAACCACCTAAAGTGGCATTCTCAACAAAAATTTATCACCCTAACATCAATAGCAATGGTAGCATATGTTTGGACATTTTGCGTGGCCAATGGTCTCCAGCTCTTACTATTTCAAAAGTTCTATTATCCATTTGCTCGCTTTTAACGGATCCAAATCCAGATGATCCTTTAGTTCCAGAGATTGCTCGTATCTACAAAACAGATATTGCCAAATACAATGAAACTGCACGCGGCTGGACCCAGCGTTTTGCTATGTGATGTTAGCCCCTCTACCAACAACTCAGTCACTTTTATAATTTAGAATCATTTATAAAACAAGACTACATTCTGTCTTTGCGTAAATTTCCGGTTGAAGAAAGGAATGCCCAGTGATGACAAGAAATTGATTCAAAATTTCAGTTTCTTTTTCAGTAAATCATGCTACTTTTTTTTTTTTTTAAACACACCTATGTGATAATCTTTTTGTAAAGAAAGTAGAAGGCAGACAGTTTGACTTTTTAAATTCATTTTTCTTCAGTTTGTTCAAAATAATCTTAATAATTTTCAATTTTTTTTAAACAGGTGTGTTAAGTATTTCAGTTAGAGCTCATCCTGCTTTACATTCTTGAAAAATATTAAATTTAATTGTGCACTAGTTTTTTAAAACACCATATTGTTTTTTACTATCAATTTTTACATTTCATTGTTTGTTTATCTTAAAACTCAAGTTTTGGGCTTATTTAATAATTTCAGGCAGTAACTAACTTACCTTTATAAAAAAAAGTTTGAGAAATTTAAAAAAAAGTCAGTCTTCAATATTAGCTGTTTGACCATTTATTTGCTATCTTTTTGTTTGTGCCTATGATATCAGCCTTAGTTCTAAGTACCTCAATTTTTCTTCTGGTTTACTAGGAATAGGTTATGACTGTGCAATTTGTTTAAAATGTAGGATTTGTGTACCTAAAACAAATTTTAATGTTCTAGAAACATACATTAGAATTGATTAAATATTTATGCCTTTAACTAGCCACTTAAGACTGCAGGGCTTACTTTACTAGGTAAACAATTTACAACCCCTAAATCATTTAAAAATGTACATTTGCTATTATATAATGAAGGCTTATTTATTTTTTGAAGCAAACATTAATGCATTGTTTTCTCTATATCTATTCTGTCTTTTAGTTAAAGTTTTACTTTTGAACTCACAGTTTGCTATGAAAATATTTTTGATTGTATATTTAGTTTCCATGTTTGGTTGGGTCATCTCTTTGTCTTGTGTATTATATGTTTGTCATGTATAGAATAACAAACATTCATGTTCCATTAACATCTGTGCTGCCTGATGATTTAATTATAGTACAGCTGAAAAGTGTGACCCATCTGATGATACTCTTTATAGTTATGAGTAGCTAAGAGATAGTGCGGTATAATTAAAGTTTATAAAGTAGACTAAAAAGTTCATACTTTTTTAAAAAGTTCATTTCAAATTAGGTTGAGCAAAATGATACTCGTGCCCTGATTGTATTGTAATTATTTTTATTAAAATTAATTAAAATTTCTCTGAGCATTGGCTACATCCCTAATGTATTATTGAGTGTGAAAGAGATGAGCTTTGTGTTGAATTTTGAAATTGGTATACTTGTGAGAAAAATAAACTTTAAAAAACCTACCCTGTTTTCAATTATTTTTTTAATATAAGCTTTCTATCTTGTAAGAACCTAAAAATTTCAATCGTAAGCTATTATTTTGGATTTATTAGCAAATGGTACAACTCATGTCTGAATGACTGAAAAGGCAATGTTAATTAAACCAAAAGAATCTGTCAATATAGAATCTGAAAGCTAGGCTCACTCTAGCCTACTGCATAATCTAGTGTGGGATCCAGTTGATTGATCGTTCTGCATGGGGGAAAGGGGGGTACTACTTGATTCAAAATCAATTGTCAAACTGCATCAGGCGCTTCTGCTGGGGCTCTGGAGGTCTTATGCCCAGGTGCAAATACTGTGACTTTTTTTCCTTCACGCATGATTTCACAAGGCCTTACAAGATTAAAGATCAAATCAGCGTAAAAATATTAGACTTTCCCGGGTTACTACCGTCAGTGTTTCTTCCAGATTTTTTTCTCCGGGGGGGGGGGGGGGGGGGGCACTTGAAATTTTCGGGGGGGGGGCGGTAAACTTTCTTTGGGGGGGCGGACACTGTTAAAAGTATATATTTTCTATATAAATTATATAAATTACACTTCGTTCGGGGGGGGGGGGGGGGGGGGGAAGCGGTAAAAAAATTTCGGGGGGGGGGGGGGGGCTAAGCCCCCCCCCCCCCCCGAAGAGATGCCTGGAAGAAACTCTGACTACCGTACTATTTTCTTAACCTCGACTGAGGATGATGTAGGAACAAAGCTCAAAAAGAGCTTTTTATTATTTCTACCCCGTTTTGTGCCGCCTCTCTACACATCTGGATTGAGATCGGGTATTGAAAAAATGTTATTGTGTAAAAAGTATCATTGAAAACGAGTTCGATTTGTTTTTAATCTCGATCATTGAGTGGTTTTTTTTTTTCTACTGGGTAAGTAAATATTAAAAAATATTCCTTTCGAACATTTGCCCCGCCGCCTTTACTATTCCTAACGGGAGTGGGGTACTTGAACTCGCGACTTAAAAAGCAACATAACAAAACATTGTGCATATACATATGTAAATGTTTGCGATGCTTTTTAATTGTTATATTATACTCTTTAAAGATCCATAATCTATAATAATAGTTTCGCTGTCTGTCTATCTATCTATCTGTCTGACAAGAACGCTTTAGAGAAAACACAAGCAAATTAAAAACATGCATAGTAATTCGAAAAACGAAGTATGACGTCGCCACATTTAGCATCTCAAGCCGGAGAGTGCACACAGTAATATGACGTCATTGATTCTCAAAAAAGGCAATTTTGTCTAATCTAAGTGGTTTGCGTGAAGAGTTTCTTGCATACAATTCTTCGGGTAGGGGCGAAGCCCCACCCCCCGCGTAAGAACGTCTGAGCCCCCCCCCCCCTCCCTAACACAAATGAAATTTCTTCATCGATACTCTATAATAAAATTACCGCCTAATTAATGTGTCTAATCTAAAAAGTGGTTTTCTTGCAATGTCTTTAATGCAATTCTTCGGGTAGTGGCTAAGCGCGATTTCGGGTAGTGGCTAAGCGCGACACCAGTGTTTCCTTCAGACTTTTTCCTCCCCGGAGAGGGATGGGGGTACTTGAAATTTTCGGGGGCGGGGGTAGAATTTTCGGGGAGGGGGCGGACACTGGAAAAAGTATATAATTATATTTCGTTGAATGGGACGGTAGACATGTTTTTTTGGGAGGGGTGGGGGGGGTGGGGGTGGGGTGTTGGGGGGTGGGGGTGGGTTGGTTTTATTTTAGAGAAAAGAGACAGCACTATCAACCTAGCGCCCGGTGTATCCTTCCTCAACGGGCCTTTTTTCTCGTAAAGTTGAGTCTACGGTCACTGAATTGTTTTGGTTACCTCCCTTAGAGAAATCATTTTTCTAAAAGTTTATTTCAGATCTAAAACGTACAAACAAAATGGCAGAAACTGTAACAAAATCCGTCTGGTTTTCAGTTAAACGACTTGATTTAAACGGTAATTCATTACTTAAGCCTAACAAGATAAAAAAATATTTGGGTAAGCTATCGTTTTAGCTACGTAAAATCGCCCGCGACTAGTAATGTGAAAAACAGGTGACTCCTTAAATTTTTAATAATTATTTCACATTTTGATGAGGATTTTTTTTATTCAATATATATAATATATTATTATTATTTATTATATTTAGGGCCCATTTGTTTATTATTAAATATTATTTGACATTATACTGATTATTTGACCGATATTGTAGTACTAGTAGTAGTTTAGATCTAGATCTATCTAGATATGAATATGATTTATGTTTTGAAAAATACAAAAATGTTTCCTTTTTTCATTTAATTTATTAGGGATTTAGGTAAAAAAACACTAATCATCATATAAAAATAAAAATTACATATTCTTGTAGAGCTCAATTATATGAAAACAAAACTAAAAAGATTTTCTGTCTAGCTCAAATAGTTTTTTTTTGGCGAATTTTTTTGTGAGGGGTGGAATCCCCTTGCTTTTGCATTGGCCAATTGTGACAAGTCATGGTATACCTGAATAAATTGAGCATAGTTATTTTACTTGCAGTTGTATTTTGTTCATATTTGCAGAGTTTAACTAGAATGATATATAGAACTTGTAAATTAATAAAAATAATACAGAACTTATATTTTTGTGTTGGCTTCCTCCCATAACCCCAAAAAACTGTGTGCTGCGCAAATATGAAAATGTTTCTAAAGCCATATTTTATACAAATACAGCAAATGAAAGAACTACAAAGTTAGAAATCTAAAGTAAATGACTTGAACACTGTTATGTGCATATAATTGCCTCATTATTTTGAGCAGGTGAAGTAGAGTCCATCTTTAAGCCATTTTGTTATAAAACTGCTGCGCAAATATGAAAATGTTTCTAAAGCAATATTTTATATAAATACAGTGAATGAAAGAACTCCATAGTCAGAAATCTAAAGTAAATGACTTGAACACTGTAATGTGTCTATAACTGCCTTGTTATTTTGGGCAGGTGAAGTAGAGTCCATATAAAAGCCATTTTGTAATAAGTGAAATGAAGTTATCAGATCAATGTTTTTATGTGTGAATTGTGTATGGATTCTGATTTTCAGCATATAACTATATCTAAGGGTAAGTAGAACTTGAATACTTAAAATTACAGTTAGCACAATGCTAGTGTATAGCAACAGACAGGTAACCTAGATCTAGGTCTGACTCTTGTCAGTCTAGAGTCTAGTCTGACAAAATTGGATTTTTAGGAAAAACGTATTCTGCAAAACTAGAACTAGAGCTGAAAAAATTAAAGATGGGTATGTAAATATATTTTGAAATAAAAAATTAGATTTGTTTGCACATGCCATAAAAATGCTGTTATTAGTTGATCAAACTTAAAGGCAGGAAGATCGGGATGAAAAAATATAACAATGGTGGCAGCGTGACCTACATACAGTGACTACGTTCGGAGGGGTATAACTAATGTCGGAGTCAAAATATCCAAAAACAAATTTCATTTCCAATTACTTAAGATATGTCTGATCAGTAATCTACTCTCATCTAGAGGAATCTTTTAAAAAATCGAGATTCCAACGTATTTGAAACTAACCTTGATACAGAGGGAAGACCAAAGCAGAGACAGCATGCAATCAGGTCGCAAAGCCATTAAAACTAAGGGACAACCACTCTACTTTTTAATTAACCTTAGGAAATGACCTTTTAAACTTAATTAATTACCATAAATTAAAAACTTATTAGTATGCAAAACCAAATCTCGTGGGTCCGGTATCAGAAAGTAATGGGCGATTTCGGGTCATGTTTTTACCGCGAACTCGGCGGATGCCGACAACCCTAAATTTATGTACCTGTTTTTAAACATTTAAATTAAAACTTTTAGGGGTCATCCATAAATGACGTCACGCTTTTTTGGACGATTTTTACCTCCCCCCCTCCCCTCCTTCACACATTGTCACAAAAAGCCAGACCCCCCCCCCCCCTAAAATGATGTCACACCTCAACCTACAACCCCCCCCCCCCTCAAAATTGCAGTTGAATTTTTTTAAAACATCGATACTTTTCTAAAATCTTGTCTAAACTATTACAATTTATTAAAACAGTTATCTAAAACGCGAAATAACGTCTAAAATTCATTTTCTAAAATTGCTTTTTTGTAATGCAAAAGTGTGACATCGCAACATCTGAAACCCCCCCCCCTCCCCCTCATCACACATCGTCACAAAATGACGGACCCCCCCCCTCCCCCCTACGAGTGTGATGTCATTTATGGATGACCCCTTAAGTAATAAATGAAGACTAGCGATGTTTCCAACAGATGCAACCATGCTCATTTACTATAGTCAGTATAGTAATAACTATAGCAGCCATCTTGTTCCTTTTTTTAAATTGGAAACTTATAGCGCAAGATTCAGGGGAAGCCACTCTAACTTACAGATGGCCGCTTTTTATATAGCAAATCCTGCTGTTTAAAGATAATTTCTTGCCTATATTAATATATTTTGCCGTTGATATAGGTTTATTATTCATTTATCTATAATATTTGACACAAATATAACACAATATACTTCTATTAAAGCCTTGACAATGAGGTAACTGTTTCGTACATTACTAGCGCGAGCGATTTTACGTACCTAAAACGATAGATTACCATTTAAATTTTAATAATTTATTGATTAATTTGGTAATCTATCGTTTTTGGTAAGTAAAATCGCCCGCCGCTAGTAATGTCCGAAAAAGTTACCTCATTGTCAAGGCTTTAATAGAAGTAGGCTATATTGTGATATATTTAATATTTGTGTCAAATATAGATAAATGAATAATAAACCTAAATCAATGGCTAAATTTAGTAAATATATCAATATAGTCACAGAAATTAACTTTAAGCAGCAGTGTTTGCAAGCAGGATTTGCTATATAATAAAGATTAGCAATGCTTTTATTAGATGCAACAAAGCTTGTTAACTGCTTGGCAGTTAGCAACCATCTTTTTATAGTTTTTTTTTTTGGTATATTATAATTAGAATTTCAGGGGAAACCATTCTAATTTACAGATGGCTGCTGTTTAAATAGAAAATCTTGCTCTATCTTTCACATTACTAGCTTCTGCCGATTCGACATACCTAAAATGACAGTTTACCAATAAATGTAGCCTATTGATAATAAATATTGAATATTCAGTCTGTGTTTGGGAAAATGCAAGACGTGAAATAGCAAAGTGGTAAAATGCGAGTAACATAATATAAGCCTAAAATCAATATTTTTTTCTGCAGAAAATGATCCATCTGCTGTGATTTCTTTAGACGTTAAGGAAGATGACAAAGTTTCTGATGTAACACAAGCCCTACGTTTAAAACTTCATTTGAATAATACTGACCTTATTCTTAGGGTATTTAAAAAATATTAAGTCTACATATATTTGACTTATTATTAATGTTAATGATACTACAAAATGTGAGTTTAACCAGTTGTATCTTAAATTGCTTGATAATAACGTGCTATCATTAAAAATTTCCAGTGTCGCAATATACGAGGTTCAATTATTCCCTTAAATGGTAAAATTACACAGATTCCAAATATTAATACCAGGTAAGAAATACAATTTAATTATTAGTTTACAAAAATACTTAGAATTTTAAAAAAATGTATTATTCCATAGAATTAGAGCTATTTTTTTTTTGTAAAAGACAGACCAGTTACCTTTGTATAACAAGCAAAGATGTGTTGTCAATCAAGTATTGTTCTTTCAAGTTGTTGGAAATTACATCAATGGTCTTCTGATTAAAATTTTTACCCTAGATTTAACAAAAAATTTATACTAATTTTAAATTTTTTTGCTGTTGTAAACTGTAGTATTATTTCTTTGAAGTGAAAGAATTATTTTTGTATTTAATGAGCAATTTTCAATTCTTAAGCTCTTTTTAAGATAGTGAGAGATTTTTAAAAACAAAATATTTTGGAAGAATATAATGTGTGTGCTAGTTTTACAAATATATGTATTGCCAGGTTATCAAGGCACCTAGAAATAAACAGCTCATGCTTTTTCCATAGGCTATCAAATGTCAGTGTTGACTGATGTTCCTGCTACTGAAAAGTACCATGAAATGATTTACAAATATTTATATATTTATCTAGCTGCCTACAGTATTCATTTTTAGTTATGTGTCTAAAAAAAAGAACAGGTATTGTTTCCTAATAAACTTTTAAAATTATCCTATTTTTGCTTTAGACCTCTTATCTTGGAAGTGGTCAAACATTTTCAGTCTGGTAAGTCTTCACTGCAATAATCTTGCTATAGGCCTGCATTTTTATATCTACATAACTTAAGTTCTTTACTGGTGGAAAACATTTTTAAAAAATTGTATTGGTCATTCAAAATTACTATAAATGCAAATTTGAGGTGAGGGTGGAAGATTTTTGTCTTTTCTGAGATGTAATTTTTAATGTTACTACTTGTAATATATTTAGGCCAAATTAGCTTGCAAAAATAAAAGCACTGGACTTTTAAAAATAACAAGTCTTACATAAGTAAATCAAATCCCTCTTTGAAATAGAAAATTACTTTTTACTTATATTTTAAGCTAGTTATCTACATATGCTTTTTTTAAAAATTAAACAGTACAACCAAAGCCTAACTCACTAGAGCTGACCCAGTATGCAGAATCCTTAAAGAACAAGCTTTTAGACATCCAAGAACGGGTATAAGAATTTTATTGTAATTGATGAGATTTATTATATAGTCTATTAATTTAAAGATACAATTTTATACTTTTTTAAAAGTTATTGAACCTGGCCTTTTGATCGTTTAAGTAGTCTAATGCCAGGTTGATAAATTAGGCAAAATAACATAACTTATTTATATTATTAGATTATTAGATTTATATTATAAGATTATTTTTTTATACATATTATAGATAACAAAAGTAGAAGCGAGCATGGAGAACATGCAGGAGAAAAGGAAAGAGAAAGTCAGTCAGGTAATAACCTTGATACATTCCTTCATTAGCTAACCCTGATTTTGGCTTGAAAAGGTTGAAACTTTATATCTCATCACAAGTTTTAGTTGACCATGAAGCACATCCAAGGCTGACCTAAACTCTTTCCATCGGTTACTTGTACTATGACCTATCACTGACATTCATATGAAAAAATATCGACTTGAGAGGGAAACTCATATTTGACAAATTTCCAAGTTTTAACTGTACCAATTTCAGATTTTGCAGATACTCTAGTACTAACATTATGACCACATTATCGTCAAAAAACATTTTTTAAATGAGTATATTCAGTAGTGTCACCATAAAGTTCTAAGCTATTGGTATTTTAAAAAACAATTTTTTTGATTAAGTATTGAATTTTCAAAAACTAATTTTGTTTTCTCAATTTATTTCATAAAAAAAGATTTTTAGATATTATTTTTTTAGTAACAAAATATATAGAAACTTCTATCACTCTTCTAATTTGAATACTGTTGGTTATGCTATTAATTTGTAGTAATAGAATTTTTTTTTAAAAGTTGTGTTTTGTGATTCTTTTAACCAAGATGTACTAGCCTAAGTGAAGTTGAGTCAGTTTTAAATGGTTAGATTTTTAAAATAAATAACCCTCAGGAAATCTCCAAGCTTGAGAACACTGTCAGCTTCCTAAAGAAGAGGATTGAAGAAGCTGAAACTATTGAGTGGAGAGGGATGTTTGTCAAAAATCCACTTTGGTGATACATGGACCATAAAGCAATCAAACCTAGTCTGTAAAAGTAATGTTCAAAACATGATACTATTTAGGAACATTTTTTATTAGTCAAATACTGTATTACTGCTATATCTAGGAAAGCAGTTGAAATTAATTATATAGATATTAGCTTACTACTGCCAATGTTATTGATAAGAAAACCTTCGTTCATACAGTACTTGTGTAAAATGCAAATATTGATGCATCCAGATCAGTCAAGTGTTATTTTGTTACAGAGTTATTCCCCCTCTATATTTTTTTGAGATTTTAAAATTTAAATTATTATTTTTGTAATTCTGATCCACTTTTAGGTTGTTTTAGATCAGAGAAACTTAAGTTGATTGGTTTAGGTTGAATCTGAAAAATGAAGAGCAACTTTTTTTTTGAATTAGCATAATCAAATTGTATTTGTTAAACATGAAAAAAAAAAGCCTTGCAAAAGGTAACTTAACAATACAGCAGCAAAACTGTTTTATCTGCTAATTGTGATATCATATGTGTTTACTTCCTTCAATACACTGTAGTGGTAGTATTCTTGCTGGTTCAAATGTTGAATGTTGTAAATCCCAAAATACATTCTTATTATTTTCTTGTTTTTACCTCATCAGATAATAATGGTTAAAGTAATAACAATGTTTGAATTGGCACAGATGTTTGTTGTTGTATGTCATAAAGGATGTTAATTTATTATTTTCTACATCACTAGTTAAACTGATGGTAGTTAAAAGAATCTCAGTGTGTTAGAACATTTTTTATGAATGTTTTTAAAGCTTGAAAAAATCCATTGATCTAATTTTATCTATTTGTTTTTCTCTCATCAAACTTGCGATTTAGAAATTTCTGATTGTTATGTGACAGTTATTGATATTGTCTTGGCTGTGAGTGCCCACTAAGCAAAAATGTGAAAAGTTCAATAATATGCCATAAAATGTTTTTTGTACAGAAAAATATGATGTTATAATTCACACATTTTTAATGTGAAATGTAAAACGTTGCTGTAGATTTTATATAAAAATGTTGATTTTTCAAGTTAACTAACAAATATCAAACTAAAAAAAAAGAATACACAAATGTATACTTTTTGAAACTGTGACAAACTTTGTGAGACCTAATAGTCCATTTCATCTTAATTATGTGATTGTGCTTGTGGCCATGTAGAGATTGTGAGGTCAGCACATTCTGTTACTGCCTTTCCTTTTCCAGACTCTGTGTGATACCATCAGAGTTGGATGCATGTATCCTACAGACTGTTTGATACCATCAGAGTTAGATGCATGCATCCTACAGACTTTGTGTGATACCATCAGAGTTAGATGCATGCATCCTACAGACTTTGCTAGCACCAAACCTCTCGGGCCATCTATTTAGTTTAGACCCTGTCCATCCATGTCCACTTAGGATGAACGAGTAAAATAAGTACAATTTTTTATGATGAGCAGTGTTAATTTTAAAGATTTTGTCCCCCTAATCAAACAAAAACTGATGCTGACCATTAAACCATTTTTTAAAAAGTTTTAAAAGTATTATTTTTGGTAGTTGTACGCAGCGTAACAGTAAATCATTAGAGCACATCATATTCATGACCTCACCCACCAATCCACATAGATCCACAAAAGTTGAATTTGTTTTGCCCCTCTCTCTTTTTGTGTGCAGACGTCATAAATGGATGACCCCTTGTGTTAGCAATGGCTCTCCTGTGTAGCAATGGCTCTCCTGTGTAACCACATTGTACATATTGTAATTTGTACAAGTGATTTTATTTTTGACATCTTACAGTTATCTCATGATATTTAGCAATTATCATTTATATACTTTTATTTTACCTTTGTTTCCTCTGTATATGCTACTGTAAGTCCTTACTTTATTTACCTTTTTCACCAAGCCACATTTTAAAAATATGTATTTATTCCAAATAAATAGAAAAATATTGTAACATTTCACTTTTTAAAGTTAGTTTCATTTGGTTTTTCTATAGAAACGTAATACCAGTAAGGTATTTTTTTGTCTTATGAGGGCTGTGACATGTTGTCACCTTTAATTTTTATGCACTGTCTTCCTAAGTTAAAATGTGTATCTTTTGTTGACCTGTGGTAAAATATGTAGTGTCACTTAATCTGATTGGTGGTAACAGAAATATTTGATGTTGAATATTGTAAAATCTTGCTGCCATTAAAAATGTTAATATCTTGTATCAATGATTAAAAGACAATTTATATGTTTGACTCCGTTTATTGTGCTTTGTCATCAATATCAACTTATGAGTAGGTCAATGGAGCAGGATACTAAAGCAATTCAGAAACGGTTGGGGAAATGTCTGTCAGCCAAAATATAAACAAGCTACGTCTTTATCTTGCAATACAAAGAGATAGATTTGATAGTGGTTTGAATGGATACAACCATGAATATAAAAATAAAAGTGGTTATAAAAATGTTATAGTGAGATTTGTTCCAGACTTATTCTCACCAATCACCAAGAAGCCTCTTTCCGTGTCAAAGATTGTGGTGGGGAAGAGGGGGGGGGGGGGAGGATGCATAGAAAATGAATTTTAAAAATAGAATGGAAATTTGCATATGTATATATAAATAATAAATCAGATTTAAAAGCATATGTTATTGCGTTTTCATTGGAAGGGAATGTTCCCAGAAAGATTTAACGAAATCGCTGTCTCTGAAGTGGGTCAGAATTGAGTTACATGATTTGACCACAAGGCCTATAGGGAATGTGAACTGAGAAAACAATGGTAAAAATATATAGTCCCTCTGTTAGATGGAGGACCTATTAATACTAATAGTTTCGCTGTCTGTCTGTCTATCTGACAAGAACGCTCTGTCTGACAAGAACGCTCTAGAGAAAACACAAGCAATTTAAAAACATGCACAGTAATTCGAAAAACGAAATATGACGTCGACACATTTAGCGTAGAGTAGAACATAATCTCAAACCAGAGAGTGCACACAGTCATATGACGTCATTGATTATCGCGTAAACATTGAAAAAAGCAAATTTTATCTAATCTAAGTGGTTTGCGTGAAGAGTTTCTTTCATAGAATTCTTTGGGTAGGGGCGAAGCCCCACCCCCGTGTAAGAACGTCTGAGCCCACCCCCCCTCCCTAACTCAAAAGAAATTTCTTTATTGATACTCTATAATAAAATTACCGCTTAATTAATGTGTCTAATCTAAAAAGTGGTTTTCTTGCAATGGGACGGTAGACATGTTTTTTTTTTTGGGGGGGGGGGGGGGGTGGAGGGGTGGGGGGGGGGGGGGGTGGAGGGGTGGGGGGGGGGGGGGGGGGGTGGAGGGGTGGGGGGGGGGGGGGGGGGGTGGAGGGGTGGGGGGGGTGGGGGGGGGGGGGGGTTTGTGGGGGTGGATGGGTGGGGGGGGGGGGGTGGAGGGGTGGGGGGGGGGTGGAGGGGTGGGGGGGGGGGTGGAGGGGTGTGGGGGGGGGGGGTGGAGGGGTGGGGGGGGGGGTGGAGGGGTGGGGGGGGGGTGGAGGGGTGGAGGGGGGGGGTGGAGGGGGGGGGTGGAGGGGTGGGGGGGGGTGTGTGGGGGTGGGGGGGGGGGTGGGTTGGTTTCAGTGTTTCTTTCAGACTTTTTCCTCCCCGGAGAGGGGTGGGGGTACTTGAAATTTTCGGGGGCGGGGGTAGAATTTTCTGGGAGGGGGCGGACACTGGAAAAAGTATATAATTATATTTCGTTGAATGGGACGGTAGACATGTTTTTTTTTTGGGGGGGGAGGTGGAGGGGGGGTGCAGGGGTGGGGGGGTGGGGGGCGGTGTGTGGAGGGGGGCGGTGTGTGGAGGGGGTGGTGTGTGGGGGGGGGTGGGGGGTGGTGTGGGGGGGGGTGGGGGTGGTGTGTGTGTGGGGGGGGGTGTTGGTTTTAGTTTAGAGAAAAGAGACAGCACTATCAGCCTAGCGCCCGTTGTACCCTTCCTCAACGGGCCATTTTTCTCGTATTTAATGTTTTTACATTTTTAAAAACTGCTTAAACCCTAAGCAAAAACTGAAACAAGTTGTCCGGAAGATTTCCCCCCCCCCCCCCCTCGAGCACAGTGGCAAGACGACATTACAGTACAGACAGGTTCAGCTTTAAAGGTTAGAACCAGGTCATGGTGACCCAAATGTCTTAACTTGTGACGGGAGCTCGAGATTCTAGACTGGTGGGTGGTTACACCGTGTCTGGCAGTGGTGGAGTAGTTGGTATGGTAGTGATGGCACGGGTAGTCACTTAGGTACACCGTGTCTGGCAGTGGTGGAGTAGTTGGTATGGTAGTGATGGCACGGGTAGGCACTTAGGGACACCGAGTCTTGTAGTGTTATGGTAGTGATAACACGGGATGACGCTGTGGATGATGTTGTAAAGACATTAAGGATAATGTAGTGGTTAGATAACATAGGGATAGTGTAGTAGTAATGACATATTATAAATATTTTAGTAGTGATGTATGTATAAGAGTAAGTATGGTAGAAATTATGGATACTGATGTAACGGCATGGATGATGTTATGGCGATGATGTAATATGGATGACGTAGTAGCGGTGGTGCGATATGGACAATGTAGTTTGCCCTGCGAGAGAGTGTTAGTGCCAGACTACACACATATCTGGTGGGGGGGGGGGGGGGGGCGACGACGATATTTGCCCAGACTTACACGGAAGAAGAAAATCGATATTTTATACATCAAATGGGTTGCGTGTGGTTTTTAAAATCACCCAGTCCAATATTTCACTGAGCCTTCCTCAAATCCATTACATCACATAGGCAGATTTGCGCACACTCTAACCCTACATATCACATAGTCAAACTTGTACACACTTGAATCCTACGTAACACATAGTCAGCCTGTCAGCCTTGCGCACACTCGAATCCTACGTAACACATAGTCAGCCTGTCAGCCTTGCGCACACTCGAATCCTACATATAACATAGTCAAACTTGTACACAGTCGAATCCTACATATAACATAGTCAGCCTTGCATACACTCCTATGTATCACTGACTTGCTCGCTGAAATAATAAAGCAAATCTTTATGTGGATTACACGTCTTTGCATGCTCCGTAGTTGAGTCAACCCCCCAGAACTTTTTTTGTTTCTTTGAGTGAAGTTTTTTCTAACTAACGATTATAGATTTAATATTTGCTGTCGGTTATGGGCGGTTATGGGTGGGTGAAGGTGGGAGGCATAAAAAAAAATTACCACTTGCTTGCTTTAATAGAGGATTTGGTTGCTCATGAGATCTGTTCAATATTTTAGCGACCAAAGCCTTAATTAACAAAAAAAAAAAAAAAAACGATCCAACAAACAATCAATCAAACAAAACAAAAAGACAAACAAACAAACAAATATACACACAAACATGTAAGATATTTGTTTATTTACACCACGGGTGCTCAAATCGTAGCAGATATATGTGCTACTTCCATGTTCATTCGGTTTCTTAACTTATGTCAGTATCAACAGCCGTCTGTTTTAATGTTGCGTTAAGTCTTTTTTAAGGGTTTGGCTACAGGCTTCATTTTTAATGGATATCTTACATGGTGGTTTACCGGTTTTTCCAATACAAAAAATGTCACATCGCTCCATTGAGTGATTCAACATGAAGGGCAAGTCAGAGGCCTTTTCTCAATCGGCAATGTCAGTCCATACTTTGTAATCTTGATGTCTTGCGTCAATGTCGGCCATTGTACGGTGTCGGCTTTTTGCCTTGCTTTGTGATGAATGTTATGAGAGTAGTTTATGACATGTTTGTAGTAAATGTGCTTAAAATATTGATGATCTGGCTTAGGAACAAAAGATCATAAAAACTTTGTCTTATTTATTTTATTTCGGGCGAATTCAAAGTTATTTTAAAAAAGAATCACATTAAATACATAATATTGAGTCGGTTGACACATTCGTTTTAAAAACCTTGAATTCGACCTAATTAAAAACCTCTACAGTACATAATTCAGAATAGCATATTACCAAAGTAGTAGGCTACAAGTTACGTATACATATAAAGGTGATTACATCAATACTTAAAGTTATGTTGATTTGTACGTTTCAAATACTTATCACTTTATAAATAGTCACTAAATGATATTATTAGCAAACTCGATGCAAATAAAAGTTTGTGATTTATTTTTTCCTTTGACCTTTTTCCTGTGAAATTTTTTTCTCAACGCTCGGTTTTAGTACCAAGATTTTATTTCCCTTCTAAACACTATCAAACGATTCTTCTTGAATAAATGTCTGACATAAAGATGGCTGGCTTTAGCGTAGAATGTTTTTTTCAGAGTAATGTTTTAGCGAAAACAAGAATAAGGTGGTACTGTCGGAGTTTTTGTCCCGTTAGACTGTTGAAGCAATCAACAGCACTTGTGTGATGTAGAGCTGATTGGAATATATTCCCAAGGCGTGACCGGAGTCTTCAAAACTGTCGATGTTCGAGAACTTTCGGGGTAGATGGCATTCATCTTTTTAAAACGTATTTTAAATAAACCGGGAGTGATCTCCCCTAAACTTTCTCGAATATTCTTATATAATAAAATAACAGGGGATGGGAACTCGGGCTATAGACATGATTTTTAATCCATTTTAAATACTTAACTACTGAAGAAATCATATTCTTGTCGAATAGATTGTCTTGTAAAGAAAAAATCTACAATCTACGTCAATTAGCTACAGTTACATCATGTCCT